ATGTGTATATATGTATTTGTGTGTGTGTATATATATACATATATATGCACATATATATTTACATATATTTTACACATTGCAATTATTCTGTACATATAAATATATATATATATATATATATGCATGTATGTGTATATATGTATTTGTGTGTGTGTGTATATTTATATATATGTATATATGTAGACCAAAACCAAACCAAAACGATCTTCAAAACAAAAACATATGAGCCATACATATTTTTAGTACCCGCGTAAAGCCTTATATTTATATATATTATATTTAGTAGTTAGAACAAAAGTCCAAATTTCCCCAGACCAGTTGTGACAGGACATGAGTGAGTCAGTGCTGCCGGATCAATTCTGTACGTATGGCAAATGGAAGCAAATTCATTTAGGTCTCGTGTTTGGGAACAAGGTTTATCAGTGAAGGAAAGGAGAGAAGGAAATTCAGTAGGGTCGGGAAAATGTGTCAGTCGGAATCAACTCAACCAATGGTAATACAATCAAACAAAATAACTCGCTTGAAACTGGCAAACGTGTGTGCAACTGGCAATAGAAAAATAGAAAAATATATAAATAAATAACAAAACACCAAAAGCAGTGAAAACTCCACGGATTAATGAGAAACACGTCGGCAGAAGAAGCTGAGGGAGGCAGTTGTCAGAATAGAGGAGTGAGAGCCATGAGGCATACTGAATTTGAGAATTTATTTATTAATTTTTTTGGGGAACCTCAATTTTTTGTAATAACAAAAAATAATCCATCCATTTTCATCCGCTTACCCGTTATCGGGTCACGGGGGCAGCAGTCGCCACGCAAATCACACTGCACCGTACCAACCCCCCTGAACCTTCGGGATTCAATCTTGCCCAGGAGGTGAACCCTGGGGTTCCACACCAATGACAGAAACATTACCTCTGGGCCAAAGGACCACTAACAAAAAAATGATAATATCCACATTTCACTTCTAACCAAAAGTTTAGCGAACCCTGATGTTGATACCCATGCCTGAGAGCGTGCGTGTCTCCTCAGTGTATTAGAACAATGATACATGGATTATTGGTGGAATTACAGATATTCACTGTTAAACATCTGTGGTCATTTGATTTTGACAAGCCAATAAACAAACTAAAAGTTATTCTTTAAATACCCATCCATACAATTTTTTTTATCACACCGAGAAAAGTTCTCAAACAGTTTCCAGAAGGGTTGTCCTAAATCACATATTTTATCATTTTGTAAAATACAAAAAAAATAAAATAAAATAAAATAAAAATAGTTGCAGCAATCTGGCTAAAACAGCAGTAAATGCTATACAGACACTCCAAGCTGTTGTCTGGTGTTTAAACCACTACAACTCTGTCCAACGTTGGCATTGACTCCGTCTCCCCCGTCCAGGCATTGTCATCTGCTATTTCTAAATTTGCTTTTGCCCTGTGAATTTGGCTCACAGTGAATAATTCAGTGAGTAGGCTGTAAAGCTTAGTATTGCTATGCTTATGGTGATCTGGAAGCGGCCAGGGTTGGTGGCACACCATTTAAAGCAGCTCTGCGTGTGTGCCGCAGAGAATGGATTATTCTGGCAGAGGCCAGAAAAACCCAAGGCCATCTGGACACGCCCCACTGTGACAGGCGTGGAGCCACATCTTATGTCACATGCCGCCGGCTCACTATAAACACACACACAGTGATATGCATGATTTGTTCATTGTGTATTATACAAAAACAACTAATGCTGGTATCATTCTGCCTGTGCCACTGAGGGCGCTATAATATCCAGTTCAATAGTCCAGAAGACCATGACGCGGTTTTCTCATTCAACAAAAATAAAATAATACCTGAAAATGTAACAAATAAACATACATATATATACATGTATATATAAATATAAATATATATATATACATATATGTTTATTTCTTACATTTTCATGTATTATTTTAATTTTATTTATACATATATATATACAAACATATTTATACATATATACCTAAATGTAAATATATGTCTATATATATGTTTATTTGTTACATTTTCGTGTATAATTCTATTTTTGTTGAATAGAATAATACATGAAAATATATAGAGAGAGAGAGAAAGAGAGAGAGAGAGAGAGTAAGTTTTGTCATATTGTAGTAATCGATACTCGCATGAGTATCGATTACTCTCATATATTACTCTCTCTCATATATTACTCTCAGATTACTCTCATTCAAGTATTGAAACAAATTAATAAAGTGTCTCTTCCGCAATTTTTAGGCTAACTTACTTATATATTACTTATATATTTAGACATAAAACAATCCGATCAAACGTTCCCCTTTTTTCATTCAAAAAGTGATAATATAGGTGGAATATAGATATGGAGTTAATGCCTCAGAAATGTAAACCTTTACTGAAAGATGGTGCCAGAAATGGACCGAACTGTTCCAAATAATAACTTTGTTCCGCTCTACTTCAGTAATACTAAACTTGGCACGGAACATGTCCATATGTTCATGTGGTTTCCCTGAATGTTTGGACTTTGGTAGCCTAGTTAAAGGAGTTATTCACTATAGACTATGTAATGCAAAAAAAGTTTTTTATTTTTCAGAATGTTTTCATCCTCATTCGTGATTTTTATTTTGCCTAAGATTTTTGAAGCTGGGACCTCAGAATGAACTTCGGGGCTTTAAGAGATGAGCGTTATTGAGTCTAATAAAAAAAAAAAAATTACGCAAAAGAAACAGCAGCTCTAACACGAGACAATTTATATTTAGCCTCACACCAGTTATAATTGAATTATTAATTGCCAGAAATCGTTTATTTGCGAGGAAGAATTCTTGGCTCCCCCCAAAGACAAAAGAAGAAGAGATAATGTGAATTCCTATAAAAGCCCTCAACAATTACGATGAAGATTTTTATTACTATTGGTACTACTACTACTACTACTACTTTTACTACTACTACTACTACTACTATTATTATTATAAATAACAATGACAACAATAAGAAGTATTTAATTATAATATGAATAACAACAACAATAACAACAACAATAATAACCATAATAATAATAATTATTATTATTATTATTATTATTATTATTATTATTATTATTATTATTATTATTATTATTATTATTGTAATTATTATTATAACAACAACAATAATGGGGGTATTTTTATAATAATAATATGATTACCAACAATGACAACAACAACAATAATAATAATAATTATTACAACAACAACAACAACAATAATAATAATAATAACAACAACAACAACAACAATAATAATAATAATTATTATTATTGTTGTTGTTGTTGTTGTGATTATTATTAGTCTCGCTTTGTTGCTATAAAGTTTTCTATATTCAATAGCAGTTAGCTCAACAGTGACAGTAGTTTGTTTTCTGTGGCTGCAGAGCAGACTAGGAAGTAGGATCCTGCAGAGAAATGGATATTTTACCGGTCAGGTATATCTTAAAACAATCAGAGGCTTGATTAATGATCTGAATGGCTGATGTATGGGCGAATAGAACGGTTATTTGGAGAGGGTTTGAGTCAGGGAAATGCACCTCATCAATCAGGGTGATTAAAGGGTTTGGCTGGGTCCAAACAAACTGAACAGTATGATGGCCTGGCCTTAAAGGCACAGTCTGCTCTTTGAAGGTTAACCACAGAAGTGCAAGTTTCATGATTGATCAACGATTAGAAATGATTTTTAAAATAAAATAGTCCTGGCCCTCAAGGTTCTCTGAGAATGTAATAAACTTCTTTTTTTTTTATTAGGACAACACTTTTTTTTCTATCTCTAATTAAACACGCAACAAAAACAACAACAATCTTCATAAATAAAACATGGTTTTAACGGAGCCGACGCAGAGCTTCTCACTAACCCCCTGCTGCAGAGGCAACGTAATAACACGCTTAACAATGACACTGGGACTGCATTATTCGCCGTGTGTTTCGTAAACGCTGCATCCTGTGCATACAGTACTAAGGGGAACTCCTTAACGTTAAACACACACACACATACTAAAGCACACACTGACACTGCCAATAGCCTGGTATATAATGCCCCACGGCCGAATCCATTGTATCCAAGGACCTTAAACAATAAATACGGCTTTGTGTCAGCAACTCTGCATATTTAAAGACACTAACGGCTTCTTCCACAGCACTCACTCTAACACACCCCGACACTAAAGTAAGGAGAAAAATGCCTGGCGCCGGTGCGAAAGGCTCCGTCAGCAAAGCAGCATCTGTAAGCAAACAGGTGCAGCAGAGTCCAGATGGGTATGTGGTCAATCCAACACTCGGTTATCTGAATGAAAGGGACGGATAGTGACATTGTAGGTATTTATGTGGCCTCCATTTATTCATTTACTGGCCCTTCATTTGGAAGTGCAAGCGGTTTAAAGGGGCGATGTTGTTTGATTTGTGAATTCTGTTTTTATTTTATTGTTGCTACGATTTTTTTTTTTAATAAAATAAAACCAATGTTGATGACCATGACTTTTTAATTCATGTTCATGTTTTTTGTAGCTCCATGTTTTCTTTTGGATGCTGTTTTTATATATTTACATAAATTGGTTGTGCTTCCACTATACCTGACTAGCATTTTATAAATCCTACATTTCGCTTATCTCTCGTTTTCAACTTGAAAACACAGCCACACGGCGCTCCTCTTCCTCTCTCTGCCATTCTTCTGTTGTATTTTCACTGAGTGTGTGCTGATGAACCTGAATCGGCAACTTGCTCGTTTGTTTGCTTTGCGCGTCTATGTCACGTGACGACTCAACATCTAAACACAAGAGGGGGGAGGAAGAGCAAAGATTGCCTGCTCTGCGCTGACACAGGAGCGGCGAGTCCAGCGACCGAAACCACAGCACTGCAAACAAAAGCGGAACTTACAGTAAAGAATCGATCTCTCCAGGCTAGTATCGATCCGATACCGATACCGAGTTTGTATCGATACTATCAACATTTGGGTCAATCCACCCACTGTTATGATACAGTACTCAAGATGAAAACGTTGGGTTTCAAGGCCTACCAGAAATACCTGAGCTCTGGGGAAGGCAGGTGTATCCAAACAGACGCCAGAGTAAGAAAATAGACCACAGAGAAGAAGAGGCGAAAATTAAAAATACACAGTGTAGAAATTGAAGGCTCCCATACGGCAGAAGAAGAGAAACTTAACAGGCGACCGATAACTAAATAAATAAATAAAATAACAGTAGCAGGAGTTTCAATAAAAGTCTCGCACACGTCGTGTAAACTCGCAATAGAGCTGATAAAACAGTTGCAGTTAAAACGTGTGTTAAAAGTTAAAGTATTGCTCAACAACGACACATTGCAATAATCTCTCATCAACCGGCGCAGCCTACCGGTGAACCATATCAACACAACAGATTTTAGCATGGCAGCTAAAGACAGAAACATTGGAGTCATCAACAAGCAGCCAGACGTAAAGACCAGCAGTGACTTTTGTTTTCAAACTCGAAAGGCGGGTTTTACTTACCGAGGACGCCGAGTCGGTAGTTCACAGTGATAACAATCACGTTCCCATAGCTGGCCAGGATGCTGCCGTCAAACATATTTCCAGTTCCTTCCATGTAAGAGCCTCCATGGATGAAAACCATCACCGGCTTTGGGCTTCCGCTCTCCCTAATGTCTAAAGAAGGAAAGAGAGGAGGAGGACGAGGTGGAGAAGGCAGAAGGACTGATTAGATGGCAGATTGAAGGTGACAGGGAGAAATGCAATTTCAACACTTAGAGTGGGTTTAGCCTCCCTCTTTAATTGCATTTGATTCGGAATGTTCTTGACACACTGGCTTCCTTGTTATTTTTTTTGGGGGGGGGCATCAAACCGTTCACTCTTCAACCCAAAGTTCATGACATGTTTGTACAAAGTGGATTTTTGTCATTTATTGACCAATTTGAAACCTCATATTTGTCCTAATGGAATTTGATGTGTGATGCAGTGAATTTTAATTATCCTTGAGCTGATTGGCTGTCAACATGCAAAACACCGCATTCTAATGTGCCGTACCATATTTAGGCAAAATCATTGCAAATAGGTATAGCACTTGGATTGTTACTTTTTTTTATTATTATTTAATGTGATATGTGGAGATCATCAAGTGACGGCACGATAGTCGAACTACCTGATTCTGCAATTAATAACAAAAAATAATGTCTTTGCAATAAGGTTAATAAAAGAAGTGTGAAATACCTAACAAATAAATGTTAACTCCAGCAGACTTAGCTATAAGTAGAGCCAGACTTATTTACCGATCGACTGAACTGAAAAGACAGATTTAGCTCTTCTTTATTTACCTCAGGACTGGGTTTACTCTGATAACAATATGATACCATACATTCCCCTATATGAATGCTACGATGGAGGATCATTTTCTACAATGAGGACATTTATTTAGGGACGTGCGATATTAACTTTTTGCCGATATCGGATATGCTGATATCGTTTCGATTCCGTTATCAACTGTTATTAATATATGGGCCGATATCGGATATGCTGATATCGTTTTGATTCCGTTATCAACTGTTTTTCAATTAATATATGGAGCTGTGTAGGTTAAAGGCAGAGGACACATTTCACTGTCTGCAGTGGTGGGCTGTGTCACAATGACAACACTGTGCACAATACTAATGATACTTCAAAACTATTTTTAGGTCACATCGTCTGGGCCAACACCCAGACATTGCGTTATCGGGTTTTAATTATCGAAGGGAAAAAAAACGATAACGATTCTTACCCTCGTTATCCCGATATTTATATATTATATTTTCATTATTTTACAGGATTGAGTATGCATTGGCAGAATTGAATCTAATTAATCAATTTACTGATGTCATTTATCTTTTTCTGAGTTGCGTATAAAGTGGCGATGGCAGGATCGATTCAGTGGGATCGACAATACTCGCGCGGGAGTCTACTGAGTATCGATTCTTCTCAGTAACATACAATTGAACTGATCCACCATTTGTGGTAACACATGTTAATGGTAGCAATTAAACTATTTAGGGTTACATTGCAGAAAAATAAAGTAAGGTAATTTGTTCTGACTAATATATTAACATAAATACACATTCAAATTCTTAATTGGCCAGTATTTGTCATGTGTTTTATTGGGTGAAAAAAATCACCCAAGGTAATAAATCAATTTAATATTAAATTATTAATGTAATTGGAATGGTATTGATTAAAACGATGGTATCGCCCATCAATAATTTAACTTAAAAATTTTACTTTTAAAAAAAAAAAAACATTAAGAATGACATACTCCAACAGTGGTGTAATTTGTTAGCAGATGCCGACGTTTGATTTGCCGTTAAGTGTTAACGTTAATTTGTTCCCTCACCGCTAAGCTATGGTGGTGTAATTTGTTAGCAGATGCCGACCTTTGATTTGCTGTCCGTAATGTTAATTAAATGTTAACGTTAATTTGTACCTTGACCACTAAGCTATACCAATAGCTTAACTTTAAAACAAATAGTTGAAGCAATCACACTTGAAAATACAAATCTATCCTTTTAAACTTGAATGAATTGATTATGTAAACATTTGTTTATTACAGTCGATTTTGGCGGGAAACAACATGGTGCACGGAAAGAAATGATTTTTCTTCTCTTCTCTTCTTTTCTTATGCTGTAACTATCTTTTTTTCTTTCTTTTTTTTCTAATTCTACCAACACTAAAAGCTACGGTACTCAGCTTCGGGGAGGAAATAACAATTTAATGAAGAAAACATTTTATTAGTTAAGAGAATGTGATCCAGCTGTGACCATGCTCATTTTTGTTCTTAAGAAAAGTGACTGTTTATATCATCTTAGAAATTAATTATAAAACATTCGGTCACAAGGTGTTCAGTGTTTGTTGAGTTTTAAAACAAATACGACAATATTTATAATTAATTGAATTCTATGAAAATATTATGTTTTAGGAATGTTTTTAATTTGATTTCCTTAATGCCCTAATGAAATTTAAGACTCAAAACAATTCTGGTGTACACTGTAGCCTAAAGATTTACAGTAATCGTCCGCCGATCCAAGTTTTTCTCCCGCTGTGGTTTCCTGCTCCCTATTCTTGCTGTGAGACCCTGAGCCAAGAACACTTGCCAAGCCCCAGTCTCTATCTCCACTTCCCCCGACTTGTCAATTAATCCACATTTAAAACATTGCAGGTTTTTCCTCTTCCTGTCACTTTCATGCAAAGTGCCATAAGGTAATAGTGTATTTGAAGCGATTTCTGGAGCGTTAAACGTTTACTTGAGTATTTGTGGCACAGACATGCTGCTTTTCTGCCGCTGTTTAATGTGATTACAGTTTCATGGGGAAAAAAAATAAAAAGACTAGAGTTTTTTTTTTTTTTTTTTACACAGTGAGCATAGATGAAAGCTTCCTTTGAGTATAACTAAAATGAGATGCAATCACCCAGGGATAAGTGTGGATGAGAGGATGGGTTTTTCTGCCAACATTGAGTAGATTATTGCTTCTCCAGGATGAGGTTTTGATCAATGCGAGTCTGGTGCTCTGGAGTTCTGTGAGCAAGCTCCGAAAGATGCCCCTGAGCTGTTGCAACAACTTTAGCATCCTCTCTCTCTCTCTGCTAACCTGCAGAAGAGACAAGCAGTGTTTTTCTGCTTTTTTTTTCTAATTCTGCTCTCAGCTATCAGCAACAGGAAGCAGCGCAAAGAGTCTGCAAAGTCAAGATTCTGCTTGTGGAGTAATGGGAAACAATAATGGAACTGGTTGGTTTATGTCCCTACAGTTATATATGTATATATACATATATATATATTCAAAGGAAATCAATGGGCATAATGTAGAAATTTTATTAATGTGTAAATTTACATCTACAAAGGACTAGGACCAAAGGGTTGCGAACCAAAATGGATCAATAAAAAACTAAAGATATGTATTCAAGATATTCTATACATATTCTATATATTCAATAAATTCTTTAATATATTTCAAATATATACACTATATTACCAAAAGTATTGGCTCACCTGCCTTGACTCCTACTATGAACTGAAGTGCCATCCCATTCCTAACCCAGAGTTCAATATGATGTCGGTCCACCTTTTGCAGCTATTACAGCTTCAACTCTTCTGGGAAGACTGTCCACAAGGTTGAGGAGAGTGTTTATAGGAATTTTTGACCATTCTTCCAAAAGCGCATTGGTGAGGTCACACACTGATGTTGGTGGAGAAGGCCTGGCTCTCAGTCTCCACTCTAATTCATCCCAAAGGTGTTCTATGGGGTTCAGGTCAGGACTCTGTGCAGGCCAGTCAAGTTCATCCACACCAGACTCTGTCATCCATGTCTTTATGGACCTTGCTTTGTGCACTGGTGCACAGTCATGTTGGAAGAGGAAGGGGGCCCGCTCCAAACTGTTCCCACAAGGTTGGCAGCATGGAATTGTCCAAAATGTTTTGGTCTCCTGAAGCATTCAAAGTTCCTTTCACTGGAACTAAGGGGCCAAGCCCAGCTCCTGAAAAACAACCCCACACCAGAATTCCTCCTCCACCAAATTTCACAGTCGGCACAATGCAGTCTGAAATGTACCGTTGTCCTGGCAACCTCCAAACCCAGAGTCGTCCATCAGATTGCCAGATGGAAAAGCGCGATTCATCACTCCAGAGAACGCGTCTCCACTCCTCTAGAGGCCAGTGGCGGCGTGCTTTACACCATTGCGTCCGACGCTTTGCATTGCACTTGGTGATGCATGGCTTGGCTGCTGCAGCTGCTCGGCCCTGGGGACCCATTCCATGAAGCTCTCTGCGTACTGTACTTGGGCTGATCTGAAGGTCACGTGAAGTGCAGAAAGTCGGCGACCTCTTTGCACCACGCGCTTCAGCATCCGCTGACCCCTCTCCGTCACTTTACGTGTCCGAGTTGCTGTTGTTCCCAAACGCTTCCATTTTGTTACAATAGAGCTGACAGTTGACTGCGGAATATTTAGGAGCGAGGACATTTCACGACTGGATTTGTTGCACAGGTGGCATCCCATGACAGTTCCACGCTGGAATTCACCGAGCTCCTGAGAGCGGCCCATTCTTTCACAAATGTCTTGTCTCACAGTCTGCATGCCTGAGTGCTTGATTTTATACACCTGTGGCCAGGCCAAGGGATTAGGACACCTGATTCTGATCATTTGAATGGGTGAGCGAATACTTTTGGTAATATAGTGTATATATATTCAAAGGCAATCAATGGGCATGATGTAGTAAATTTACATCGACGAATTAGAAAATTAGGAGAACAGTATTTATTTCTCAACATTTTTTTTAATGACTAGGACCAAAGGGTTGCGAGCTAAAATTATTATTATTATTCAAAAACTAAAGACAAAATAATCTGCTTGGTTTAACAGGTGTGGCGCTTTGGCCCAGAGGCAATGTCTCTGTCATTGGTATGGAACCCCAGGGTTCACCTCCTGGGCAAGTTCGAATCCCGGTTAGGACGATTGGTACCTTCCAGTGGACTCACCACCCGCAGGAAGATTCAGGGAGGTTGGTACGGTGCAGTGTGATTTGGGTGGTGACTGCTGCCCCCGCGACCCGGTAACGGATAAGCGGATGAAAATGGATGGATGGATGGATGGATGGATGGTTTAACAGGTCAAATCATGAATTAATGCAACGCCAGACATGCTGACTAACATGTTCATTCATGTGATAGAATTGTTTTGTCTTTTGTTTACAGTTAGCAACCAGTTGTACCGATTCAGGCCGATTCAGAGTCTCGGGGTTATTGGAAGGTTATTTTCACAGCTTGTTGATTAAATCAATGTGTGTCAACGCTTTCTGCTTGCTGACGTCAGTGCAAACGTCTGGTAAAGCCGCCTGACAGAACACATATTTTCACATATATATACACATATACATATGCATATATAGATATATATGGCGTACTGCTTGGAAACCGAGCAGTACAGCGGGACATGGTTGAAGGTGTGTAACTCCTATGCTACCAGAATGGGACGACTACAGAACAACGACAGAAGGAGCGCAACTACGTCTGCAACAATCAGAGAACGCGCAAATACATTTGAGAGGAAGTTTAGTTAGGTATAGGTTTCGAGTTCGAAGGCAGCATAGGAGAAATGGAGGTATGCCCCCTAGTGGATGGGATAATGTGGGCTATGATGTTTGGGATGAAAATGCCCATTCAAGTTAAGTAAAAGGATCAGAAATTAGGCTTTATGGTGCCTTATTTTTATATGATTATATATCAAAATGTGTTATCTTATCACGTTATTATCACCTGAGTGAACATGAAGAGATACAGCTTAGATTTTTTTTTTTTTTTTTGGTAATAGAAGCTAAGACATTTTCTTTTGTTGGTGATAATAATGGCTTTTGGACTAGCAGCATTGCTTTTAATAGCCTCATTTAAATGTTTATAACACGTACTGCTACATCAGTCCTTTAATGTTGATTGAATTCCTTTGACCACATGCCCAATGAAACAACAACAATATGTCTCAGGCAATAGAGTACCGGTTTTACGCAGTGGTACTCTTACTGGATCCAAGACAAGAGTCTGGTTTCAAGTGCAATATTTTCTTATTTACAATTCCCCTATGAGAAGAGGTCTTCCGAACCGACGTCAATGCATTGTTTTTGTAAACGGGTTACCCTTCAATATATTCAAATGCAATTAGATTAAAATGTGATATGTTATTCTATCTCACACAGGCCCTGACATTCTTCAGTAGGGCCAGAGTCTATATGAGTGTTCAGATTGCTTTTTTTTCCTAATTGCCAATTATGTAAAAAAAAAAAAAAAAGAAAAAGAAATTGTTGTCAATTCGTTTTTACATTATGAGTTTTTTTTGCAGGTAATATGCCTGGCATATTGAAGCGACACTGCAGGTGTACCTCTGTTTACTAAAGTATGACACATTTATTAGGCTTTTTTTTTTTTTTTTTTGATGAACTAAAATCTATATCTTCGGATATGAACATCTAAGAGAAAAAGACCACCGTACTGTCCAAACTTTAAGTCGCACTTTTCTCATCCTTTGGCTGGGTTTGCGACTCATGTGCGACTTATATATTGAAATAGAACATTTCACGTTTGTTATTTTAACACTGACAGCCGCTAGAGGGCACTCTAGCTGGCTGGTACTACGCAGCGACTTATATATGTTCTTCTCTTCTTCAATATGATTTTTTTTTTTGGCTCTTGCGACTTATAGTCCGGAAAATACGGTACATTGTAAATTCTAAAATAACTGTGGCAAAAAGCTGCACTTTTCTTGTAGGGCTAGTACAGACATGGGCAAACTAAGGCCCAGGGGCTGGATGCGGCCCATTCAGCTTTTAAATCCGGCCTGCCAAATCTTTCTAAATTATATAATTTATTTTTATTGTCATTATACTTCTGTCTTTTACCTTCAATACCAACATTTCCCCAATAGTTGGCATAGAAAAAAATGTGTTTTAGCCTTATTGCACTTTTATCATCGTTTATCTCATTTCATCATTTCCCCAATAGATGGCATAGAAAAAAATACAAGTATTTTAGCCTTAATGCACTTTTATCATCTTTTATCTCATTTCATCTTTCTTCGTTCACACAAACGCTCCATCTATCTGCTCTTGATCGGTTCAATTCTAGGACAATTGTGGCCCACGAGTCGAAAAGTCTGCCCACGCCTAGGCTAGTATAATTTGTTGGCGATCCCTAAACCAAATTAGGCTCAATAAACTCAAATGACCTAAACTTTACTGATGATGTTTAGATAACTGGCAGCTACAGTAATACGGACACACAAATCCACTGCCTTACAGAGACTTCCTGTCAACCCCCCACCCCAAACTCCCACGCCCTGAATTTTCTGTAGACTTTTACGTTTCCGTCTGAAGACTTTAAATGATCAAATTATTAAAGGGGATGATTATGGGCATGTGAGCGGTCTTTAGATTTTTTTTAAAACTCATGTAATTGAGAACTGTTACACAGATATGCATCGACAACCTCTGCACAGAAAACACACATTTAAACCAATAACACTGAGTACAAAATATGATCACAGTGTAGTTACTTGAAATCAGCCCTAACCGCAAGCTGGCTCTTTTGTTATAGTAAAGTCTGTCAAGGTTTTTCACTAATATTTAATACAATCATAAAGCGCTGATTTTAAAGGGTATTTTGTTGCCGTAGTAAACATGGATAGTACAAAATGTATGCAGAATTGTTATTGTGTCTGAAGCAAAAAGCAAAAAAAAAAAAAAGAGGTTCTGGTTTGATGCCCCGCACCTAAACAAGACTGTTAGTGTATGTTTAAGCCAGATAACAAGAGTTTGGAATTTGGGTTTAATCTCTATTTCTAAAGAAGAATCAAAGGAAATTGACATGCAAAAAATGTGTTTAGAGTTGACTGAGGGGTTAATAGTTACTTGATCTGTTGGTGGGATGCAACAAAGAAAAAAAAAAAGAAAAAGGGAAAAGAAACAGCAAATCCAAGCACAAAGTCTACAGTATTACAGAATTAATACCAAAGACTGTGGGGAACATATAAACTTCAGACATCAAGCTGAAAAAGGACAAAACACACCCAGCCAAAAAGGACTTTATGAGAAGAAAGAGCAAAAAGAAAATGCCCATCACTTTCAAAAAGGACAAGAAATGTAAGAAAATCAAAGAAGGGAAAAAAATTGAAGGGAAAAGGGTACGTTTGGTTTCCCTCGTCATGCAAATCAGTTTGGCATCAGGGGAAAAAAATACCTTCGTCGTCCGTGCGGTCACTATCACCTAAATCATCAGTGTGTTTCTTTGTAAGGGGACCTATGGGACCAAGAAGGAAAACAAGATGATGAAAAAAACACACAAACTTCAAAAGATGTTCTCAAAAGATTCAGAGAAATGTCAGTAAATCATTGTTTCCATCCCCGTTTTTTTTTTTTTTATGCAAAAATGTTCACACTGACAAAGAAAACTGGGAAACATTACCACAATGTCCATATCACACGTTTACAGTAGGGAAGATACTGCACATGTTTTGCGATTTTAAGAGCAAGAAAAGACAAAAATAAAAACTTGGAAAAAGTGATTATTTGAAAAAAAAAGAAGAAGATGTAACTTGTTAGCATAAAATCACACAAAAATGTTTTGACACAGCGGTTTAGAAAAAAAGAATTCACTTATAGACATTGTGTTAACAATGATCGGAGTAGAAGACGCTGAAAAAGAAACAGCAGGTTTCAAAGCAGATTAGGAAAAACATTTAAAAACCCTAACACCGCCCCCTTGTGTTATCTCGGTGTTTGTCGGGCCCATCCATTCGTACTGTATTTTTTTTTTTTTTTTGCTGTATACATATCTCAAAACACAATTTATGATGTATGATTATTTATTAAATTAATTTATCATCACTTTTTTTCTCTCTAAACCTTTCTACATGATTTTTTTTCACTTTGTTGCAGCCAGGATTATTTGGCAAGAGAAGCAGCGGACTACCTTTTCACACCTGAAATTTACTGGATGTTCCCTGAAGTGAGGCTAGGTTCCTTGCACAATATATAGTAGCTCCCATCACTCCTTAGAAAAATTGTGCATGCTTGCAAAAATAAAACCATGTGCCTCAATTTCACTGGAAATGTAAGCTATACAAATCAATATATATATGGGTTGTTTTTTTTTTCTTTTTTCTTCAGTGATCACAGAAACGCTGCGTTTTATTAGCCAAACTCGGGAGCAGTTGGAGAGGAAAAAAAAAAAATCTATGGCAGCATCGGTCAGTGTTTAACGGTCATCCAGGATATATTAATACTACACTGAACAAACAGCCACGTTAACACACATTTAGTAAACAAATAGCCAGACATGGACAAAGACACGGTGACGCAGGATGTCACACACACGCAAGCACATATATATGGTTATATGCACACGAAAAGATGCACACACGTGCTACACAGCTACATGCAGTACAAGAAAGAAAACGTGGCAGCAGCGGGGAAAAAAATAAGTTAGCAACTTCTCTCTCTCTCGCTATTTGTTTTTCTGTCTCTCTTACTCACACGCACTCGCTCACCAGTACACAGTGTGTCGTCACGCCAAAATATGGGGAAGACATGCTTAAACACACACCCCTGAAGACCCGTACATTTATTCACACTGGTCACACAGTGTGAAAGCAAGGGGTTCTGTATGAGGCTAGCGTGAACTGGACTTAGTGTCTTGACAAATTAAGCAAGAAATACAAAGAAAAAATAATTTTCATAAATTATGAAAAAAAAATATGATTTTTTTTCATAAAGAAATCAATAAGAAATAATATGGGTTTTTTTTTTAAACAAAATGTTAATTTAAAGTAAAGTAATTTTGAGTGGAAATTAGGAGTAGAAACAGCTATATGGAAAATAAAACACAAACTCCATTCCCTAGACCAAACTCATTTTCATTTTCACCTTAAAGGGACGGTTGTAAATGGAAGACTGTATAGATCAGGGGTTTCCCAACCCCCGGTCCGCAGACCAGTACCAGTCCATAGGTCATTTGGTACCAGGCCGCAGTGGGACACAAGTGAAAAAATATGTGCTTAATTTTTACTAATTTATTTCATTCAAAGAAAATCCAGTCATACCCATGTACTTTCTTTATTTCAAAAAAATCTGCTACAAATCTGCTACAAATATTGTTCATTGCTGTGTAATCAAAACGTTTAATTCCATGGGGAACTCTCTGGAACTCCAAGAAACTCTGCTGCATGGACTTTACTAAATGCTTTTTTAAGCTCCCGTGGGCCACATTTGGCCCCTGAGCTTTGAGTTTGACACATGCGCCCTAAGCTTTAACTGATGAAACAAATGCTCCATCCTTGGCCAAAATGTAATTTAGATCGAAAACTCAAGCTAACTAAACAAAAATCCTGATTTGGACAATAAACATTAAGAACTTACTTAGTGGGAACCTACAAAATGTCCCCACAGGACCAGCGGTCCCGCAACTATAGTGGATATGTAGGGAAACACACACACACACACACACACATACGCACATACACACAGAGAGTCAACCAATTACCAACACAAACACAGTGAGGGAGAGCGAGACAGAGACAACACAGAAATCAGGTGTCATTTCTAAAGCGCCCTGTGACAAGAGGGCTTTGACACTGACCTGTTTGACCCAAGCTGTCAGTGTGTTAACTGTGTGTGTGTGTGTGTGTGTGCGCTTATGTGTGACTGTGACTGTGACTGTGTGTGTGATACAGTTGCTGAGGTTTCGTCTTGTCGTTGTCATACCTTCTCTGAACGACTCATAGCTTTTATTTTACACATTTGGTTTTGTTTGTTTTTTTTACTTATTTACATTTATATTCAATATGGAACGAGCCATTCATTTGAAACTAAGTCAGCAGTTGTGTTTATTTTTTTGTTGTTCGCTGCTGTCTTTTTAATGAGGATTTAATCGCCTTAATGCTGTCTTTTTAATGAGGATTTAATCGCCTTTAATCAAATGCTTTTTTCATTAACATAATGCATAATTTTACATTTTGAATTAAACATAATTGTAATCTTTTTTCTTTTTTTTAAAGAAATTGACATAATGAACATTTTTCATAATGCATAATTTTACATTTTGAATTGAACATAATTGTAATCTTTTTTTCTTTTTTATAGAATGCAGCTTCGTATATTTTTCAAAATGTGTAAGCAAAGACACATTTTGGGTTTCCAAACCCACGTCAGCGGGCTGGTACAGGTCCGTAGGTCATTTGATACCGGGCCACAGTGGGATACAATGAAAAATGTACTTCATTTTCACTAATTGACTTCATTCAAATAGAATCAAGTAATATCCCTTTAGAAAAATAATCTGGCAATATTTCAAAATAATATGTCATCCAGATCCCGATACTAACAGGTCCTTGGAAACTTCAATCCGGCCCGTTTGATGAATTTCAAAAATGAAAAAAAAATCCATAATTACATTTTAACAATTTATTATCAGAAAAAGTTTTATCTAATTTTATGTACTTTTTTTGCATGAAACAGTTTGATGAATTTCAAAAATGAAAAAAATCCATAATTACATTTTAACATTTTATTATCAGAAAAAGTTTTATCTTATGTACGTTTTTTTTTTGCATGAAACGGACAAAGATGGACTTTTTGTTATTTATAGATAATTATGTTATGATGGCACCGGTCGGGCCCACTTGACATTAAACTAGGCCCTTGAACCAAAATGAGTTCGACACCCCTGGAATAAAGTCTAAAAGATCGTTGTTTTTTTTAAATTAAAGGATCCTCTAACAATCGGCGCGGTGATATTCAGCAGTAACAGCCAATACCAGGCAACCAGTCGTTGGGGACAACTGGTATAGTACTCTTTCTCTATGGTTTACTATACATCAGGGGTCCCCAACCCTCAGTCCAGGAATTAGTCATTTGGTACAGGACACAGCGAAAAATGTACTTCAGTTTTACTAATAATTTTCATTCAAAAAGACATCAGTCATATCCCGATATCATTACAAAATAATCTGTCAATGTTTCAAAACAACAGGTCATTCAGACTCGGAACCTATGAGAATAAAGTCTAAAAGATGTTTTATTTTGAAAATATAATGAGCCTTCAATGATGGCGCGGTATTACAGGTCCATTGTGAGGGCTAATACCAACTGACCGGTCGTAGGTATAAAAAAAGATTGTCGACCACTGCTATACATTGGACGTTGGAACGTCAGGTGAGACGAAGAAAGAAAAAAAAAAAGGGTGCAAATCTAATCAATTAAATCATTTTTCTTTTTTTAAACGAAGAATTAAACTGACACTTTGTGACAGAATTTTAAACAGTTACCATCCTGCATCCTGACACCTTCTTCAGAACCAGACAGCCGTTGATTCTTCTGACACTGACAAGCCATGTTTCTTTGTCTCTAATTAACTGTGTATGAACGTTACGTAGAAGAGCATGACAGTTACAAACTCGAGCACTTGTATGACAAAAAACACACACACACACACAACTGATCATGTGATGATTGAGTTCTCCCCAGGAAATCACGGCTCCCTCTGTGTCATCTGTGCAACTGTTCGTTTCAGTCTGTGGACGCGTCTCCACTCTCACTTTCTCCCCCCCCCCCACTACACCATCAGCACTGACTGCAGACTGATGAAGAGCAGTTTCAGCCACTTTAACACACTGCATCAATTTCATGAGTCAAAACACCAGTGGGGATAGTGGGGATAATACACACACTCTCCCCTCAGGCTTCCCCATCCCCTCTTCTGGATCAGGTAATTATTGCAAGGAGAGTCTGCATTGATCGCACATTCAGCACAAACTATCCATACATACAGATTGCTCTCTTTATGCATCACTGGGGTCCACAGTGGCATTGAAACACAGCAGCCTAATCAATCACCAATGTACATTAAAATAGGGCATCTAAGAGAGCGCACAGCTCAATGAGCCAAATAGGTAATCTACTACTGACCTTGGAAAAAAAAAAAAAGAAAAAAAGAAAAAATCCCCATAGGCTGTAAACTATAAACACAGGATCAAATCTCCAAGGTAAAATTGTAGTCTGCTGCACTACAGAAACACTCAGATGAGAGAAACTGTGATGGGGCCAACAAAGCTTTCAGTGTGACAAACATGATTAGAATCCCAATCCGGTGGTTGTAAACCTGTGCCAACCAATCCTCCTGGCAAAATAACATATTTTGAGATCAAGGACTTTACCATTTGAAACCTTCAATTCGAGCATCAATTTTGTTTCCATCATCTGGAGTCACTAACTTTTAATCTTCTCACTTATCAAAAGAATCTC